CCCCAAAACCCCAAAACCCCAAAACCCCAAAACCCCGGGAATGATTAAAATCATTGAAAATTGATCAGAAAAATGGTATTTAGATTGATATTCTGAGGATCTTGGCCAACTGATTTCAGAATCCCCAATCACTAACAGTGAAAAATTAGTGCTTGAAAAGTATCTTGGGGGATCTCCAAATTAAGATCAATATTCCCTAGTTCTACAGCCAACTGTAAAAATTCTTACAGCCAGCACAATAAATTAAAAACTCTGATTTCAAGGTCTTTATCAGAAAATCATAAACACTTGCTAACATCGCATGAAGAGTTAGGAATGTAAAATCAAAAGCTGAATTTATCCCTCGCCTTTTCAAATCTCTAAAATGACATATCTAGTACATTAGCTGGAACCCTTTGAAGGCCAAGTAATACTTAATCCTGCCTTTATCAAAGTCAGCTGGAGTGATATGAATCCCTGATAAATTCCTTTTAAGATAATCTGAACTGCAGAGGCAGTCTAATAGAATGTAGAGAACTTTGGGATCTCTCTTCCAGTCTCCTCAGTCCCATGATCCACATCCAGGTAGGCTTAGATTAGTCAACTTTGCCTTCTCAAGAGAGGACCCGAATGCAATGGCTTTACTCTTCAGGATCCTGCAGTTGTTAAATTCAACTTTTTGTCTGCATTCTCTTCCTGATACCAGAAATCTTGAAAATAGTGGAAGGGATACTTTAAAATTCATAATGTGGAAGACACACGTCGTGAAATTAGCGATTCTAGACAACTCCTGAGAGAAGTGATAGATCCTACCGAAGAAGATGTTAGGCCGTGTAATAGAGAATCTGCTCATCTTATGGCGAGGGACGCATTTAAGCAAAAACTCTTTGATAATATGGGTATCTTTCTTTACGTCCATCAAGCAAAGACCTTTTAAAGAATGAAGTCTAAAGTTCCGGAGACGCTTCAGTATCTTTCTGTCACTCTCTTTTGCAAGTCTAAGCTTCATGAAGCTTATCTCTGTCATAGTCTCAGTCTTGCTAAATGTAGCTTTAAGTATCTCTTAATAGTTGGGAGAGCATAAGAATAGTCTAAATACAGAAAGTAAGTCAATGGGTTTACCTTAAAACAGATGGGACAGATCCCAAGGTCCCTCTAATCTGTCACATAAGTGAATTAGCTACTTTATCCTCAAGCAAGAGTTCTTTCCTGTATATAGCCATCTGCTTATTTCTGTCCTCTAGTAATTCCATAAATGTTCTAATTTTCAATAATATGGAAAAATAATGGGGTTTTGGGGTTTTGGGGTTTTGGGGTTTTGGGG